GGGGGGTGCCTTCTATTTCAGCGAGAGGCAAAACTGTAAGTAGGTCTTATTTTCGGGGGATGTCTTACTTTCGGGGAAACAGGGTACCAGTAGGTTAAAATGTAATACTCTATCATTTGCTCTCCCTTTGGTTCATTTCTTGTATTATATATCTAATCATCTAGTCATTTATAAATACATATATAAACTTATCAGCAATCTGTTTTGATCTCTCTAGAGAACCCTGTCTAACACATTATCCTATAGATGTGCTTGTTCCCATAGTTCCCTGTCATAATAGATTAAATGCCATTTGGATTTCATGTGACTTCAGGAAAAAATTGGTATTCTGGGACTATGAATTTTAATTCATTTTTCACCATTAATCTAAAGCAAGTCTTTGTAAAAACGTAGGTTGTTAGTCCCTTTTCAGATAAATCCTAGAATAGAGAGGTAATTGATGGTAGAGCAGGGCTTCCAGACGTATTAAAAATCTTTAATGTGTTTTTTTTTAAATTGATATATAGTAATTTTTATATAACTTTGTATTGTATGTTAGGTGGGGGTAATTTGGTATTGTTGACAGCCCTTGAGAAGCTCAGTCTGCCCTTCTGCCATTCATGTAGATGCATCCGGTAGTGAAATTTTCCCCCTACTGAGGAATTAAAAGAATGAATGTAAAACCAAAAGAGACAAAATTACTCTGGGGTTTTGTTTTTCAGGCTTAAAATTCTAGTCAGATTTCATAGCTTGGGTTCTTCAAATTCATAACCCCAAAATCTTACTGCCTTCTAGTCATTATTAATGCATAATGATCTGCTCTGTAAACCTCCCTTGTTCGGTATAGGACAAAGTAGAGCTGGTCCTTAGGATTTTTCAGACTAGAAATCTTTACCAGTGTAGTCAGCCTCATTTTTCTCCCACAGAACAGCTAGTGGGTTTGAATTGTTAACTCTGTGGTTAGCAGCCCAATGCTTAACCCACAGTGCTACCAAAACTCCTATTAAATACCTCAAGTTTTTGCTAAACCTGCTTCTTAAAACAAGGTTATTAGTAAATGGAGCCATTCAGAAGTGAAATTTTAAACAAAGCTTCCCCAAAATGAGCAGTAAGATCCCCTCCCCCCTACCCATTACAAGTTAAAATATAATTGGCATATATTATCAAGTTGTGCTAACGTCAAAATATTGAGTTGACAGTAGAGAGTTAGACTATGTATCTAAGAGCTAAAGTGTGGCCTATTTTAAGGAGAAGTAAATGGATCTGCTTTCGTCTGTCTTAAAAATGACACAGCTATTTTTGTTAGGAGCTATTGATTAGTTTCTAATCAAAGGAATCCCATTTTTACAGAGTAGAACTCCATTGGCTTTCCTGAACTGCAATCTTTGTTCTTTTTCCTCCCATGCTTTATAATATGAATACCTCTTTATATTATTTCTAGGGGTTTTTTAATGATGAATTTGGTGAAAGTTTACAGAGCAAATCAGTTTCTCATTCAATAGTTCACTATATTTATGATGCAGTAATTTACTTGATGTGGTGCTTCTAGCCATAGTCTTTTTAACTGTGTATAAAGGAGCCCTCTCAGAGGCATAAACAGAGGAGATGAATACCATCAAGAAAGGAGTCAGGAGTAGAGCATGTCATTTGGACCCCTAGATCCCTGTACTACACTGAACCACCTCCTATCTATCACTCCTGTGAGAGAGTTGTGAGACACTAGCAGTCCTTCAAGCAATCTTTCAAGTCAAGTCTGCTGCCAGGTCTTCCTTTACATATAGAGAGACTAGGCTATCTCAGCACAGCAGCCAACCACAAGGCAGGTCACCAACTGTCAGCCAGGTCACCAACCGCCAGTCCTCAGCTCCAGAGATGTCTTAAAGGGACCTCAACTTACAGCGACACAATTCACAGGCTAGGCGTCCCACAGGTAGTGTAACCTATAAATTGAGGCACAGAACAAGCAAAGCGGCCGCACACTGGTCTAATGATCAAAGAGCGAGAGACAAGAAAGGTAAGGCTCACCAAGCCATTTATCTCTCTGCCCTTCAGTTAATCCTACTTGTGTTTATCGGCCAGGCTGGCACAATAAACTATCTCAGATAATAAAATACTCTTGAAATAACCATTCCACAGAACAATAGTTATCTATGGACATTTTCTACGTATACTGAGAAATGTTCTCTTTGATGCTGAAAAATATTGGTAACACCAATGACATTCACCCAACCCAAAATTTTGAAAGAAATTAAAATACCTGTTTTAGTTTTTCATTCTCTTCCATGAATTTTTTGGCAGCCTTGGTAGTATTTTCTGTTTGAATTTTAAGTACTCCTTTGGTTGACAATTCTTTGGCCAGTTGCGTAATGAGACTAACCAGACGTCTCAACACTCTAAAGGGGGTGGTGGGGGTGTAAAAAAATCCAATTAATGTGTAACTAATCATCAGAAAATGTGATTTTTAAGTCATTTTCAAAGGATTTGTCTTAGGTAAGGTATGATTTTAAAGAACACCTGATTAAAATAAAACTTTAAAATAGAAGTTTCACAGTGAAAACAAAGCTGTTTCATACCATTGCAATCTTTTTTGGTAGACTAGCATTTGAAAAATAAAGTCAGTGCTTAGTGGTATGATTATTTTCCTTGTAAAAGTCTGTAGTTTGGACATCCAGAGAAGCATTTCAGGAATATTTAAGAGGGCGTGACAGGGCCAGACAGAAATCACTTTTGGGCTAACCCCTTGAGGTGTATTGATTACAGGCTGGACTGCAACCTGCAAGGCCAGCAGTCAAAACTACCAGCTACTTCGCAGGAGAAAGAGCAGGCTCTCAGAAACCCGCAGGGGCAGGTCTACCCTGTCTTATGGGGTCACTATGGGTTGGCATCAACTCAAGGACAGTAAGGTGGTTGATTTTTTTTCATTTGTTTGTTTTTTAGCTCAAAATTTTCTATTTAAAGAGGAATCAAACCCACCAGTCAATCTTCAGGAGAAATGTGAGACTCTCTGCCCCGTAAAGATTTAGAGCCTTGGGAAACTATACCTAGGGTTGTTCTGAGTCCAAGTCCTGTTCTAGGTATTGAGGACACAACAGAAGACAAAGCCTCATGGGTTTACATTCTAGCGTGGAGGTAGTGTGAATTAAACAGCATTTAACTACAACTGTGAATGACAGGTTGTGGGAAGATGTGGCTTTCTACACCTGTAAAGAGTTACAGTACTGGAAACACACCTGGGTACTTCTACCCTGTCCTATAGGGTCGTTATAGGTTGGAATCCACTTGATGAGAGAAAACGAATGAATGACGGGCGGGGTAGGTTATGAGGCAACTAACCACGAGGTCAGTGGCTCAAACGCAACAGCTGTTCCTTGAGAGAAAGATAAGGTGGCTTACTCCCATAGATTTATAAGCTTGGAAACCTTATTGATATAAGGTTTTATAACACTTAGTGGTAGTGTTTTTTTTTTTTTTTTCCGGTTAATGATGCCAGAAAGAAAACATATCAATTTGTGAGGGGAAAAAATGAGGAGCTGATGCCAGGGGTTTAAGTGGAGAGCAAATGTTTTGAGAATGATGAGGGCAATGAATATACAAATGTGCTTTACACAACAGATGTATGTATGGATTGTGATAAGAGTTGTATGAGCCCCTAATAAAATGATTAAAAAAGAAACAAGAAACGAAAACATCGGTTTATATGTAACAGGAAATGACCTCTTTTGGGGAATGATGGTGACAAAAGGTACCTCAGTCAGGGTTGGTTATTATAGTTCTAGGAAACTAAGACAGGTGATGTGAATTGAAATGTGTTCCCCAAAAACCTATGTTGTAAATCCTAACCTCTATGCCCACGGTTAAAATCCCAGCAGGGAAAACTCTATGCCTATTATGTTAATGGCACAGGATTAGTACAGTGTCTATCCTTCTCTGAGAAAGGGGTGTCAGGGCAAACTGTGTCAAGGTCCTGAAGTAGGAAGGAGCTTGGCACACACCACACAAGAGCTCAGGAAGTATTTGTTGCAGGGATAAAAGAAGCAGAAAGGTCATGCTGGTAGAATGCCACGAGAATAGTGCTGAGACAAGGTGCAAGAGAGGCAGGGCCCAGATCTTGCAGGCTTTATCCACCTATCAAACCTACAAACAGTAACTATTGTTTATTATTTAGGTATATCATCTGTGGTCTTTTGTGAAGATACTGATATAGTAACAACTATAGAAGATAAAAGCAACTATAGTTTAGGTAAGGAAAGGGGAGAGAGAGGGCGATATCTTGTTTATAACTTGGGCTTCTTCCTTTCTTCTTTTGCCCCGTTACTTACAGCCAAAAAAATAATGAAAATCCAGAAATGTAAAGATTTCTTTGAGACCTAAAAAGTTTCATCTGTGTATGATCATAGGCACTAGGTCTACCGGCTGAACTCTTCTGCATGCTATGAGCAAAGGAGTATTTTCTTATTTCTCTTACAGCATCTGTTAGGAAAAAAGAGAGAGAGAGGAAACATTACTTTTAGCTTTTAAGAGTACAAAATTATCCTTAAAAAAGGGAAAGCATTAAAATATACTATAAAGCCATGGTAATCAAAACAGCCTGGTAATGGTACAGTAATAGATACATAGACTAATGGAATACAATTGCCTAAAAAGAAACTTATACATCAAGCTCAGCTGATATTTGACAAGGGTGCTAAGTGCATTGAGTGGGGAAAGGAGAATCTCTTTAGTAAAGGTTGGTGAGAAAATTGGATTTCTACATACAAAAAAACAAAAGAGAACCCTATACAAAAAGCAATTCAAAATAAAATAAGGCCCTAAATGTGTAAACCAAAACCCTAAAATTCTTAGAATAAGCAGAGGCGGTGCTGTCAGGATTAACTTTCAACAATGGGTTATCTAGTATAACAACCAAAACACAAACAACAAACAAATTAAATGGGACCGCATAAGAATTAAAAACTTGTGCTTACCAAAAGACTTTACCCAAACGGTGAAAAGACAATCGACTGGCTGGGAGAGTATCATTGGAAACCACATTATCTGACAAGAATCAAATTATCAAAACATATATAAAAATTTGGCCATTTAACCACAAAAAGACAAAGATCCCAATCCTAAAACGGGCAAAGAGCCTGAAGAGACATTTCACCAAAGAAGACATTCGAATGGCTGTCACATAAATGAGAAGATACTCCGTGTCATCAGCCACGAAAGTGGAAAATCAAGACCACACTGAGATTACCATTACACTCCTATTAGGATGACCAGGATAAAAAGCAAAACAGAACATAACAAAGGTTGGCAAGAAAGTGGGGGAAGCCGGGACACTTACCCAATGGCTGGTGAGATTGCAAAATGCTACAGCAGCTGTGGAAACCAGTAGGCAGATCTTCCCCACATTAAAAATAGAACTACCATAAGACCCAGCAATTTTTTTCCTCGCTAGCTGTACACCTAAAACACCTGACAGCAGACTCACCAAGAAGACATGCACATCAATGTTCCCAGCAGCACTTGGCACAACAGCCAAGATAAAAACCACTCAAATGCCCATCAACAGATGAAGAGACACAAGATGTGGTACATACATAAAGTGGAGTACACGGTTCAACCAGTAGGAGAAATAAAGTCCTGATACATACTACTCTATGGATAGAGCTTGAAGATATTATGCCGAACAAATTAAGTCAATTACAAAAAGACAGATATTTTATGACCTCACTTACATTAAAAGATGAGAACAGAGTTTACTAATGGTTACTGGGCCTGGAGGAAGGGGTGGGGGAAAGGGATTAACGGCGATGATCTCATTGATTAAGGGGAGGGCTGCACAGTTGACCGTTGTAGTTAGTGTCAGTAAAATACATCTGCAAAAAGTTGAATGGCAAAAGTTGTGTGACAGACACACTTATAACAAGGACCAATGGGAAGGAATGAAGAGAAACTGCTGAGGCTGCATATATCCAACTTCACGGAGATTTGGTTCCTTAGTTTAGAGGTTTAGGGTCATGGAATAATACATGTCAGTTAGGTAGCCTAATAGGTTTATTGTTTCTGTTCTACTTCCTAGTTCACAGTATAGCGCCTGGGGTCTTAAAAGCTTGCAAGTGGGCATCCCAGACACAACAATTGGTCTCTATTAATGTGGAACAACAGAGGCAGGTATAGATAGGAAAGGGATATTAATTGGCAAAGCGGCTCATAATGACCCTCTGTACAAGAGAACAGAACAGCTCCAATTCCCTATGTTGTCATCACAATTACTCCTATGCTTTGTTCTGAAGTACAGAGAGTCGTTACGGGGCAGAACCAACACAACAGGACTTAACAACATGGAATATCTGGCTGATTGCCTCCATGAACAGCTGCCTACTTACCATGACACCAGAGGAACTAAATATTACACAACTACCATTGTTGAACATTTTGATCAAAGATTCCATTTAAGAATCCAGATCAAAAGGGAGTAAAAGGGAGCTAGGGAGGTTGGATGAACTAGTGCCCTGAGATAATCCTTAAACTTTAAATCAAAACATCTCTTTAAGTCTTCCACAAACCGAATTAATAGTTTAGCTTAACTAATAAAAAAGGTCTACCCTCGTTGGACAGGGCAAGATACGACAAAATAACAATTTATAAATTATCAAGGGCTCATGAGGGAGAAGGGAGCAGGGAGGGAGGGGAAAAATGAGGACCTAATGCCAGGTGCTTAAGTGGAGAGGAAATGTTTTGAGAATGATGAGGGCAATGAATGTACAAATGCACTTTACACAATTGATGTATGTATGGATTGTGATAAGAGTTGTATGAGCCCCTAATAAAATGATTTTTTTTAAAAAAGGTCTACCCCGTGCATTAAGCTTCTAAGAACTATCTCAGATATGGGATCAAATTAACAGCAACTTGAAAGATGAGCCAGGAATCTTAGGAGGCATTGAATTTACATGAATGTGGGAAGACCAACCCAGAAAGGAGGCTGAGAAGGCACAACTGCACGAAGTATAATCAATGTCACTAAATTATGTACACGGAGAAACTGTGGAACTGGTAACATTTCGCAGTGTATCTTATCAGTAATAGAAAAATAAATCAAGTTTAAGGAAAACAATTGGAAGTAGTTTTAGAGTAACTAACAACTTTGTAATAATGGGGCTTTTTCAAACAATTTGGGAGGGTATCATTCTTTGTAAATAGATACAAGTAGTAAATGTCAAAAAATACCGTATTTTTGGGTTGTACCATTTATCTAGCACTCAACAGTATTGTATAGATTTCATCTTTATCAACAGTGTCGTTTTTTCCTTCACTTCTTCAGTCCTTAACAGTGATATAGAAGTGACTCAAGAGAAACTAACAATCCCTTACATTGACTAAAATTCAACAGCAACTGAGGCCATCACAATGAACTCCAAAAGATTATTCTATTTCTCTAATTGTACTAGCACTTCATTATATCCCTACTTTAAATTACTGTGCACTAGTGGGGTATCAGACACAGGTAGCTAACTCTTGGGATTTCCACTAGCATATGCGTGCAAAGATGGGTTTTGACCTTGGTGGCATCAATGTCCCCACTGATACGTGGATGCCATCTGCTGCTGGAGATGCCGATAGCTACTTCTTTACAGTTTCTGTTCTGGTTTAAGTCTCAGATTGAGGAGACCATGCGGAAACTAGATTTCAGCTCAGTAGCAACTCTATTTAGTGTACTTTTAGTCACTGAATTCTTGTATGCCTTAGGGAAAGGAGTTGCCTTAGATGCCTCAAAGGCCAATGGAACTATGAGCAAGTACTGTCTCTAGTACTGGACTTTTTAAATTAACGGAATCATACAAAATATAGCCTTTTATGTCTGACCTATTTATTACAATCTAACATTTAAAAGATTAGATCGCTGTAGCACATATCAGTACTTCATTGCTTTTCTTTCTAATGACAGAACTGCTTTGCATTGCATAGATGTACTCATCGTTTATACATTTATCAACGAACGGAAATTTGAACAGTTCCACCACCTTTTGGCTATTACAAATGCCATCAACGTTTCAAGACACATTTGTATCTGCAGTTTTTGCTTCCCTTGGCATAATCATCTGATGAGTAGAACTGCTGGGCAAGATGGAAACTTTTTGAGGGGTTCTGAACTGCTTATCAAAGGAGCTGTACCATTTTACATTCCTCCCAGCACCCAATGAGGCTTTCATTTTCTCTATATTCCTGCCACCACTTACTATCTTTATTATAGTTATCCTAGTGTGAAGTGATATGTCCTAGTGAAGTTGTTTTGATTTGCATTTCCCTGTTGGCTAATAATGCTGAGCATCTTTTCACATGACTATTGGCTATTTGTGTATTTTCTTTGAAGAAATTCCACTCAGATCCTTTGCCTTTTTAATTGAATTGTCTTTTTTATTTGCCTGCAATTTTTTTACACTAAGAAATAATGGTCATTTATTGCATACAACTCAATGACCATTATATATTTCTGTAATCTCTTTCATTACAGACCTTTAAAAAAAAAGACTTTAAGGAATAACAACTGCAATAATAATTTTCCATATGAAAATATCTCTTAGGTTTTCTAAAATTTTTTCAATCAACATTCTTGTAGTTTTCAGTGGAGATCTTATATGGTCTTTATTAAGTTTATTTTTAAAGTTTTTAAGCTTCTTGATGTTCTTATTAAAAGAATTGAGAATTCTTTTTCTTTTTTTTTTTCTGAAGTAATTTTTTTTTCTTTTTCTTTTTTAACATTTTATTAGGGGCTCATACAACTGTTATCCCAATCCATACACACATCAATTGTGTAAAGCGCATTTGTACATCGTTTCTCAAAACATTTTCTCTCCACTTAAACCCCCGACATTAGGTCCTCATTTTTCCCCTCCCTCCCCGCTCCCCCCTCCCGCATGAGCCCTTGATAGTTTACAAATGGGTATTTTGTCATATCTTGCCCTGTCTGATGTCTCCCTTCATCCGCTTTTTGGTTGTCTGTCCCCCAGGGAGGAGGTCACACACAGTTCCATGTAATCGGTTCCCTCTTTTCTACCCATTCTCCCTTCACCCTCCCTGTTTTGCCACTCACACCACTGGTCTTATAGGGCTCATCCGTCCTGGATTCCCTGTATTTTCAGTTCCTATCTGTACCAGTGTACCTCCTCTGGTCTAGCCAGTCTTGCAAGATCAAATTCGAGTCATGGTAGTGGGAGCGGGGAGGAAACATTTAGGAACTAGAGGAAGGTTGTATTTCTCATCATTGTTACATCGCACCCTGACTGGCTCATCTCCTCCCGGAGACCCCTCTGCAAGGGGATCTCCAGTGGCCTACTAATGTGCTTTGGATCTCCACTCTGCACTCCCCCCATCATTCACTATGGTAAGATTTTTTGTTCTGATGATGCCTTACACCTGATCCCTTCAACACCTCGTGGTTGCATAGGCTGGTGTGCTTCTTCCATGTGGGCTTTGTTGCCTCT